TAATCGCTATAATCGTTGACAATTCAAGGGACTTCGCTGTTCTCGCTAATTGCATAGCGGATTCGGCTCTGTTTCACTTATTCATTAGCGAAGGTAAGGCATTACTGAATCAATCAGTGACTTTTCCACTGATTCAGATTTAGAAAGAATTATGTAATACATTCTCATAATGTATATAATCTCTATAATATAGAGTTTCGCAGATGCTTGTTGGCTGTCGTTAGTAAATTAACGGTGGTTAATTGACACTGGGTACTAAGTGGCCGGTGTCGGTTAGCGGTAACAAATTACCGATTTTACACGCCACGGATGTACACGGGTATGTGCATGCACGTGCCATATGTGTGCCTTAATAACGCGCCAGTTTAGCCGGAGCCGGTCTTGGCGCTGTGTACAAGCTAACGTTCGGGGACCACACAAAGCTGCAGGGTAATTATTGACTGTATACCACGCGTCCGCTCACGAAATAGTCGTGACTGTCCTTGATACGTCATGGAGCACAGCTGGTGAACGTGGCTGAACGAAAATCGTCGACGCTCGTTCGGCTCGAGCGTCACGCTTGACACCTTTGCTGTCCGGTGCCGGTCCAAAAGCCGCGCGGATGAAAATTGATGAAACCACAATTGGTGTTAATGGCGTGCCACAACTTCCCCCTCGTTGGTACCATTTAGCAACCTTCTGCATCCTCGTTACGTTATATCGCTTTCGGCGATATTTATTTCGGGATCGATTGAGTCTGCTTCGAAGGGATCTACGCGCGAAATCACGATCTATATACGGGAACGCAACAAAGTTGTAATTGCTAATGTGATATTGTTGTAATAAGTAAAATAGATTTCTTGGAATCGCTGCTTATACGCTTTTTCGCGAGAGATACATCAATCCTAATTTTAGGACAAATGGACAATGAGGATGTAGCATATATATTAACTGCCTTAAAATAAATTCTAACTACACACTTTTAAGATAAATGTTTGTAAAAGCAATTTATATAATATATAAAAAAATTAAAGAGAACTGGATCGTTATAAAGATTAGCGTTACTCGGCGTTATTAAGGATTCGACATAATGTTTTATACTAAATATCAATACGAATGATTATAAATAAAAAGAAACCACGTAAAAACCACATTAAAAAATCCACATTCGTGTTTTCATTTCATCAATTGTATATTTTTTATTTTTTCGTAATGCTTGATTTTTCTACGTTTTAGTAATATTATAAATGATTAAAAAAGTGAATGTAAAGTCTGAAACACGCACACATACATACATATACTCTCTCTTTTTCTCTCTGTCTAACTCTTACATTATTTTTTTTTTTTAATAAAATAATTAATCCGATTACATATAATGCATGCATGTCATCTTAATGAATATGGAAATCATAGTGGTATGATAAGTATCAGGTATCCATAGTCAATGAGAGTGTCACGGCCGAGAACGAGCCCATCACGCCCATAATATTCGCACGGGTACACTTCGTGCGGGCGAAGTCAGGAGAGGGGAAGGACCTTCCTGTACGTCGCGGAGAGAGAGCGGTCGGATCTCGCGCGCGAGAGAGCGTTCCTCCGAGCGCGGGGAATGTGTGTGCTCTCGCGCGTCGCGCCGTCATCCGACACGTGGGACGTGACGAGAGAGCGTATTAATCGTTTATGGAGCGTGCAAATGCAACTGCCCGACCTCGCTCCATCCCCCCGCGCATCGTCATCCTTGTCGCCGCTCGAAATCGGATCAAATCGAAAGCAATCATCGCTCGACGATTGTGGGGTACCGAGAGAGCTCCGGGTACGCGGGCGCGACTCCGGCTTGCACTAATTCGAAACGCGCCGTTCGATTTGTATCCGGCCGTGCCGGGGTCGCGAAATAAAAAACGCGCTCTCCGAGGGCATTAACGTCGATCGCGATGGAGAGAGACGGTAACGGTCCGGTGCCGTCGACGTCGATCATTATAATACGTCGTAAACTAGACGCATGACAAGCGCGAAAGACGTCGCACTTTTACGATTCGCGCGACAATAAAATATATCGACGAACGAATTCCGAGGGCCGTGCGTCGCGGTACCCGCGCGGTACGAGTTTATATCGCTCGTCACTCTCCCCGCGCTCGCGCTCGTTTCTTCTCCACTTCGTCCTCCTCGGTCCCCCGGTCCGTTTCCTGCCGGGCTGACAACCGGGTGTCGGATTACCGTCTTCCATTTTTCTACGTAGGTGTTCGAAGGGAATTAATCCCAGCCGGTTGCCGACTTCCGAAGTCGAGTTGCTGGTTGCCACAGCCCCAAGGAGTGGATCGGAGTGCCAAGAACAGGACAAAATCGGGGAACAGCAGTCGTGGGAGACCCATCTTTTGTCATGATTCTCTTTCTCCTTGTTTCCTATCTTAATCTTATAAATATCTTATAATTTTTCTATACTCGTTAATATAAGGATTGATTGTTGCTTCTTATTCATTTAGTATGCCATTGTTATTATCCTTTTTTAAACTACGGAAAGGAAAGGACTTATAAAGAATATCATTTTCCGACGTTGCACAGTTCCGTTGTGAACCGTCTATATGAACGAACGGAAACGGATATGTGAGTCCCCTTCGGTATATTTTGGCGAAATCGCGGAGTTGACGAAAGCGTTTTAAACACGTGCGCCCCACATACCGGGCAACCCTAATCGCCCTAATTTCTTCATCCTCTTTTTCGTTCTCTTACCGTTGCAGGAGAGACATCGACTGCTCGATGATACAGCGCGTTTTTCCAATAACCGTGAGATGCAAAAAGTGATCAATTAATCATCGTGCGTGAAATAGAGCCTGTCCTTAGATGCGGCAATCATTTGTGTATGACAAAACGGATTAAAAATGAACGCACTGTAAAGTTTCATCCACCGTCATTCAATTAAATATTCAAAAGCATCGAAATTTAATATCGGTTTAAATAACATCGATATCATGGCAACAAAACTGATGTCGGCTCTCTCGCGACTATACTATTAGTCTCCGGACGAATAATGGATAAACGTGGAATTGCACAAACGAGCGTTTGCACAATTCAAATTAACAAATTCCCCTCCCTCTCCCCCCATTCTATGGGGATTCAATTAAATTTGCAAAATTACTCAGTAATGAAATATTATCAATTAAATGAGTAAAGAGTAAAGACCTATGTTACGTGTCAACTGTCATCGTAAAAATTTAATATATCCGAAAGCAAAATTGGCAGCAGCGATAAATGAAATATATATCGCTGCCCATAAATAGAAATACGTAATCAAAGAACTGGTCATTCATAACGAGTATTCTACTGGAAAGCCTTGAGAGCGGAGGAAGAATATCATCGAGGTCTTCGATCGAAGGCTGTTGATTATGTTCGCGAAAGGATCGTTTTCATCGCTACCTCCATTATTACGCATATACGCGGACGCGCGATATATATGTATGTATGCGCCTCGGCCGTTCCTTAATTAACTTAGCCGAAAGCTCGAGTAAAGCGAAGCTAGAATAAGTACGCGCAAATGCCGTTTGGCTTTCAGATTCATTTGGGCAAAAAAGGGCGGTCGCGCGAGCGAGAGCGCGCCGAGATGCCGGCTAAAATCGTACCCGCTGTGTGTGGGCGCCGTAACTACGTTCCGCACTAACAGGTTCGTTATGGTCCGCCCGCGAAGTGCGGATCGCCAAACGACGTTGTAAATTCATCCCGATAATGCGGCCGGGCAAGTAATGCGCGTGGCATCTCACCGAGACACGCGAGCGACTGCGTGTGAATAGTACGCTACTACGCTGTACACTTCATATTTCGTTTCTTCCGTTTCGAAGTAGGTCTTAATAAATGAGACGCAACGCGTGGAGGAGTATAGGCATGCTATATTTTGACAGCGGGAATGTTTTTCTTTTTCAAATAAAATTGATACTTATATATCGTCTCGCTTTGCTACGATAATTCCATTCAGAATTTCATTACAGTTTTATTCATGTGTCAGTAATGTTGTTTTGAGACTCTCGAATTAAAAATGTCTATTGTATTCGAGGATAAATATGTTTCTTCTGAAGTAATCACATAAAAAACAAAAATATATATTATACACAATTGATATAGTATTATAAAAATACTAACATAAAAACTTACAAAATCGCAAATATGAATTCTATGTGAAGAAAGCAGACATTTGATATTTGTGAAAAAATCGCATCAAAATTTTTTTTATAAGATTTTTCTTTCATTTGCAAGATAAGAAAATAGATGTATACGAAAATTTAGGCATAATAAAGAAGCGTGCATTATTATCAAATTAAAATTTTGATTAATATATGTATATACTTATCCTCTCTCTGCATACAGATGCATACTTTTTATAATTTTTGCGACTTTTATTATGCGTCATCAAAGGAGTGCACGCGCTTCTAAAGTAGGAAAAAATTAGCATACTTAAGGGAGATATATATCAGGGGCATGGAAAGGGTTACACAGTGTTG